TTAATAGGGACATAATTCAAAAAACACTTGGATCAAGTGGTCTAAATTGCAAAAAACCTTTGTAGGTAGTTTTTTTTAAACCTTATATTTAAAAAAAAACTTTTTTAATAGTGAGGGACATTTGAATTATGTTCTCGTCTTTAATTTAGGAACCCATCTTTAGCCCTAGAGTTATGTTATATCAAATTTCACTGTGTATAAACAATTTTTTATTTTTAATATTAATCGATAGAAAGTACCATTATCAATATATATTAATTAATTATAATCGATTACTAGCAATTATTGGTTGACTATTAATAAATAACTTTCTAAAAATTTTTTTGATGCTATTCAAACTGTTGTATTTAAGTTAGTTGAATTATAGATGCATCAAGTGTTAACAAGGAAACTGATATATATTTACTTTAATTTAAATAAAGATGTAAACCACTTATTTTAAAAAATTTTTTTTTGAATTAAACAATTCTTTATTAAATTATAATAAAAAATATAAGTCCAATTATTTTTATTACATACTATATTTTATTTATTTATTATTTATTTGAAACTTAATATAATTTTAGGTTGACTTTTTGAAAATTTTCAGAAGAAAATTAGTGATTGTATCTAAATAAAATTTATCAAACAGTCGATATTGATATCTTTTGATTGTTAATCAAAATTTATATTATCTTTTTAATCAAGAATTTATCTATAATACATTAATGAAATTTAATTATCATATTTTATATTTATATTAAAATAGTCTCCTATTATGAACTAATCCGTGGTTTAAGAAACACATAACTGAATAAATTAAGACATTGACTAATTTATCCCAGAAATAGGCGAACTCATAATATCACATGTGCAACTCACTATCTTTCATATAATAGAATTTCATTTTTTTTTATTTTTTGAAGGAAATGTATTTTTTTTTTAGTGAAAAATTTAAAGGATTTCAACATTTTTACGATAACTGCTTGCGGTCTCATCAAACGCTAACATAAGATAATATAAGTTATACTAAACAGTCTCTCTTAAACATCAAAACTATACTGAATTATTCTGAAGCAACATATAGGACACGATCGATTAAATAAATAATAAAGAACTTTGTGGTTTATAATAAATTATAACTATGTTAGTAAAAAGCTACAAAAATAAATAAATAAAACACAGAAACCAGGATATCACCTTTTATTATTTGCATTTTTTAAGTCTAAATCAGATATCTAACAACTTAAATGAAAAATTATTATGAGACCACCTTTATCTTGCAGAAGATAATACATTAAAACTACCAAAGGATTAATTACATATTGACAAATTGCTTTTGAAAAACATACACCTTTTTAATGCAACTTATATTTCAAGTGTGTTTCTCATTTAAATATTCTTTCAAAGCTAGTCTTCATTGCGACAGTAGTTTTCGTATATACTAAAATAAAAAAAGAAAACAAATAACAGTAATAATTAATTAATAAAAGGATCGAAATTCTTATCAAGAAAGGTGTGCTAAACATTGCTGAGTCATGTTGCCTAAACATTCCAATATTCCGATCCAGGTATCTCTGCATTAAAGAACTGCTTACATTTTAAATCAAATCTTGAGAGTAAAGGATTTTTTCAATTTTTTATAAAACGAACGGTGAGGCCAAAAGTCAAATTTATTGACTTCTATATATTTCATAAAATTATTCAATATGACACGACATTCTTATTCATTTGAGTTTTTGATTGTCCTTAGACTTCTATTCTATTTTTTTAAAAAAATAAAAAATAAGATTTTATCAATGGCATTAATTCCTGAAGACAAAATATAACTCTAGCAAAATTTAAAAATACACTGGAATTCATACAATTGCATCTGTTTCTGTTTTCCACGCGTGAGCGTACTTAATATTATAAATAATTAACATGTGTATTTCGAGCGAATAATATTATATCATAAAAAAAAAAACCTTCACACAAATCGTAAATTAATTTGTTCAAGGCACCTGTAGTCAAATGGACACTAATCAGAATAAACTATAAAATAAATATTGTCAAGAAATATTCATGTACCTCTTATGAAATGAGATAATATTTGATACAATTTACGCATAACTCACGTTTATTTTATTTAACAATTCCTAACGGTATGCAGTTATGGTTGTAGGGTTGTCTTCAAATTATTAATTTCAACCGAAGATATATTGTAACATGGGTAACTGTGACGCGATCTGCGACAAGATTGATCCCCGCGAAGTATCGCTTGGACAGAACACGTCATAATAATGAACGGCGCACATACAAGTGTGAAATAATGTTATAGAAATATATAACACAATCGAAAAAAAAAAAAAAAAAGACTTGACTAAGTCACGTGACCAATCTTCGCTTGTCAAATAAATGAATTATGTAATATGATGACAAAGATGATAATCTACTATTTAATGGTTTTTATTTATTTAATTTTCTTATTGTCATTTAATTATGTAATTATTGGACTAATTGTATAAAAGAAAAAAAAAATTTTTTTTTTGGCCACTATCAAAATCCGCCTCACCTATCGTTACGCGAATCTTAACTTTCCTTAGCGACAGACTCACCGATCACCGTTACAATATCTTTCAACTTTTATACATTAAAAGGTAGGAAAGTGTATAGCATTTAAAAGCTAAATAAACTTGCAGAAGCGAAGTCAGAGGTAAAGTCGCATATTGAAGCGCAGAACGAACATCACTTGAAGTAGGAATGAAACCATATCACGTGAATAAATTAGGAAATCAGGCCGTTTACAACGGTACAGCATGTCTAAATTCAACGTTATACAATGATGATATAGGGTTTTTTTTTAACGCAAATTTCAAAGTAAACAACGAACAGACGTGTTTCCAGATCCATTAAATCATATAAAAAAGACAGACCTTTCCCTTTCTCTATCAGAATCGATAACCAGTTTAATCGTTGTTATGTTGTTTTATGATAGGGCTCATCATAATTTAAGATAATAGTAATTTTTTGCGGAAACCTATGATATGATCTAATTACCCTTGAAATTGAATCCAATATGAATAAATAAAGTTAGTCTTTACTATGCATATCGTATCCCATTAGGGATGTTAAAAGTCTCGACTCGGTTCGACTCGGTTCCAGGAGTTGAGTCTAGATCGGTTCGGTCCCAAGTCTAGTCACGTGATAAATGATATCATAATACGAGATTGATAATGATAATTTACGTAACTTTTATTCAATATTTGCATCTAACCAACTCTTCAAACATATTGAAGTCCTTGTTGTATCCTCAAGAAGGCGATTCCTTGTGGATTCAATAGTATTCTTTACCACAGAGAAGATACGTTCACAAGGAACACTCGTAATTTGCAGGGCAAAATAATCTGCTGCCATAAGAGCTACGATTGGGAAACGGGAAACATTTACCTTCCACCATAATAATGGATTTACCTTTGGTTCAGAAGGTAGAGAAAGGTAAGTAGTCAGCTCATTTTCTGTTTTGTTTTCTTTATTGTCATCTAATTGTATTAGTCTTCGAAAAATTTCTAATGAATCTTCTAATTTATGAATTAGTTTCTCTTCTTCCTTCTGATATAATGAATAAGATATTTTTAGATAATTTATAGCTGATTGTCGTTCTCCTTCGTCAAAGGTTTCAAATTTTATCGACGGATCAAGAAGAGCGGGAATAGTAGAAGATTGTGAAATGTAAATCCAGTAGGTCATTAGTTTACTTTTTATCCCTTTAGCTGCTTCATAATGTTTACTAATTGAAATATAATGATCAAGATGCGATAAGAGACCTCGAATAATTAATCTCAAAGGTCTGTGAGTAGGTTGCGAGGCATTTGATAAGATTAAAGTTGCCTTGTAGAATAGCTTAAGAAGTTGTATCATATCCTAAAATAAGGTATGTTAATAGATAGATATATATTTTTTTAAAAAATTACTTTGAATAATATATTTACTTCAACTATTTCCCAGTCACTAATTTCCAAATATTCTTCTTTTAAATTTGGACATGCCTGTATAAAAGCTTCAGTGATATTTCAGATTTCTACAAGTCGTTTGAGCATTAAGTAGATGGAGTTTCACCTTGTTTCAACATCAAGCTCAAGATGGAGAAAGGAGCAGTTTAAGATTGCAGAGATTCTTTTCATTTCTTCCAGAAGCAAAGGAGAGTTTTTTAGTTTATTACAAAAATTACGTGCCTTTTTGATTTGACTAATATGACTTTTTTGGCCCTCTTTAACAGCAAGATTTAATACATGCGTCACGCAACGTACATATATGAAGCTAGGACTTATGAATTTTTGAAGGTGGCGTAGGCAGGTTTGATTATTTGTCACATTGTCTCCAGTAAAACCAATCACATGTTCTCTAATTTCTAAATCATCAATAAGCTCCATAACCTTCTTTCCAAAATACTCTCCGGTATGGGCATCGTGTAAGGGAATAAAGTCAAAAAGAAGGTCTCTCATTGTCCATTCAACATCAATCCAATAAACAGTAATGCCAAGGAAAGGTTGTTGGGTGCATGCGGTCCAGACGTCTAAAGTCAGTACCAACTTGCTCTGATTATTTTTTAGTATTTCTTTTATTTTCACCCTTGATAAATCAAATTGCCTTCTTATGTTTATAGAAAGTGTTTGACGACAAGAAACTTTATATCGAGAATCAAGATTACCAAATAATTTAATAAAGGATTTTTCTTCGACTAATGAGAAGGGCAACTGATTAATGATAAAGCACATTAATAAATCATGATCTAAAGATTCGACACAAGGCTTATCAGCAGATGTGTATGGAAAGGAATAAGGAAACTTTAAATTGTTTCTTGGAAAATCTTTAAAGGTAAGGGGATGCTTTTTTTCAAAATGACGTGTTATCGTTGATATCGATGTATTTGCTCCCCATCTATTATTACAGATCTTGCATATGTGAGTGCCATCTTCAAGTTTCTTAATATATGCGTGAACAGGTGCAGATGCGAGTTTCTGCTTTTTCTTTGGTCTCTTTTCCTCTATAAGATGTTCTCCTTCGCAGGTGTCTTCAGCAAAGGAATCATTAGCGAAAGAACTATAAAACTGATCTGAAGTAGAAGACATAGTACATTTGAAGATGTTAGATAAGAAAGGTAAGTGATCTTTTATAAATATTATTTAAACAATTAGAATTGACTTCTATTTTCGTTAATAAATGATGTAAAGGTCCTGTGAATTTAGCTAACTTAAAATTAATGCCATGTGCACGTGATTCGAAACTTAATAGATTGAGGAGGCATTCGATATACAATTGACTTCGACCTAAATTAGCAACCGAAGAACAAATTAATCGTGAAGATCTCCCATAAGAAAAAAGAATCAATAAGATACCTAGAAATTTTATTATTAAGGGCGCAAAGGGGTAGTATATTTCTTTTATTAGCATTATGTCCAACACATACAAAATAATTGTCACCTACCTACGTAATAGAGTCCTAGTATTTGCGGGATATAAAACAAACATTATTCTTTCAAAAAGACTATGCATTGAAGTTAATGCTGTATTTTATGGAGCCGTAGAAAGTAAGGCAAAAATTCCTAGGGTAATTCTAAATGAGCGTTTGAATGGTTATGAGCTATGCAATATATTGGGTGTGTTTCAACATATAAAAGGCCTTATGTACCGAGTAAACCGGGCTAGACAAATTACTAGAATTGGATTCCGGCGAGATCAAAATAACTTCTTATTATATATTTCGATAATGGGAGCAAAACGACTTACTTCGACAGATAGAAAGGTACGAGCTATAGAAGTGCTTGAATGCTTTACTCAATCCAAGAATCAATTATCATGTATAGGCTATAAGATAAATCAAAGAAGACTTAAGGAATAGCCCTTCGATGTCAACATGCTCAATAAACTATCCGTACTAAAAAACAAAATGTTAGAGATGGAGATGTATAATATCTATATGGATGGATCAGTAAGGGGAAAAATGGGCACAATAGGATGGGTTCTTCAAAACCAGCAAGAAATTAGTTTTGCATCAAAAATAGCAGAAAATTGCAATGTGATCCAAGCCAAACTATTGGCAATATTGACATCTTTGCATGCTGTACCTAGACCATCGGATGTAAATATCTTTACAGATAGTGAGGAAGCCATTCGTCTAATAAAAAAAAACATCAATAATTCGCTCTTAACGCAAAATCACACGATGCATACTATCTTACAAATGATAAAGAGTTCCTTGATAATATATAACATAAAAATGCGACTTCACAAGGTACGAGCACACTCGAATAATAAATGGAATAATGAGGCGGATAGGATAGCAAAAGAAAGCCATAAGGACAGAACCGCTCTTACTTATAACACTTTGTGGGGCATTGATATACGGGAATTCGCAAAACCACCATCGAATGAAAAAAAATAGTTTCTTCTAAAGTGAGATATAGTTTTAGGAAAAATCGTTAATATAAAATATGCTTAAACATTTAATTTATTAAATGACAAATCTTTCGTAAACTTCGACCAAGTATTGTGTAATATGTTACGTCACAAGAAATTTAATATCACGTGTCCGCTATAAATATACGCAATTGTTTCTGATCACGTGATAAAAGGGACAGGTTCGAAGTCGACTCGGGACAACTCGGCTCAAGCAGACTCAAAAATTGACTCCACCGAGCTTTTTAACATCCCTATATCCCATATAGATTCAAGTCTCAAAGTCAGGCCAAAGCCTGACCCTCTGTCAAATATTTGAGCAAGATATTTCTGGCACCGTTTGTGTCCCTATCCATCTCCACTTCGCACGAATCACATTTGAACGTTTTTAATCCTCCGAGGTCATTTTTCACAAACCCACAACATCCGCATGTCTTGGACGTGTATTCCCGGTGCACTCGATGATCTTGCAAATGCAGAACTCCCTTGCCTTATGTTGTAAGAACATCTGGAACCTAAAATGCGACCAAGTCAGCATTGCGCGAGCAGTCTTCGACCGAATCTTTCTTTTATTCTTTAAAACCATTCTCGAAGATTCGAATTTAGGCAACAAGATAATCTCGTAATTCGTGCACAACCATCTCGCGAGCTGGTGATGGCACTCATCTATTAAATGACGGATTCGTTGAGATCACCATTACCCCACTCGATTAATTGACCGTCAGGATCGTAACCGGTCATAAACGTGCGAACACCTGGATCGAGCGAGATTACCTTTACCAGAACATCATCTTGGTTATCGATAATGTCTAGAGGAACAGAAACACACAAGTAAAATGTCCTAGGTGATTCAAAATCCCTGTCCGCCTTCAAAAGGAATTACCCATATGGCTGATTCTTTTTGAAAACGACAAAAATGTTGTTATATCATTATTTTTTGAACAATACATATACATATAAATTCTAGGAGTACAGTTATTAAGTCAGAAAAATCCCTGTCCGCCTTCAAAAAGAATTACTCATATATAGAGTATATATAATCTGTTTAATGTTAATCTGTTTACAAAATTCATTTAATTTAATAAAAAAATGTATTCAACTAATATGCAATATGTTATACTATGTATTATTCATTTTATTTATTTTATAATGTTAAATAGTAAAAACAACTTCATGATTACACAATAACTGTCAGTTGACCACAATCCGCATAATTTAAACAGATACAGTATGTAAATAGATTTCGCAATTGAAATTATCGCTTTCATTTTTTATTTTTAGGTATGGATGATAGTTTCTCTAACTGTATGTTCCAGGTCGGTGAGTTCTATATATATTTTGCGTTTAAAAAAATTATAATATAATGTTTTACAATTATAATTATAAACATATATACTAGCATTAGTTAATAAAATTTTATGATTTAATAATATACAGTCGCTGGTAAAAATTTTGTGAACATATTTTAATTAAATATTAAGGTTAGTATTGAAATAAAAGGTACTTAAGGGATTATTATTATTATTATTATTATTATTTATTTTATTTATTTATTTTTTTTTTTAATTCGTAATAATAGAAAATACCGACTGAGTTACAAATCGAATAGGAAAGTACTTGCCGAGGCACTATACAAGAATACTACCTTGATGGATCTATGTTTAAGTATAAATGATTTAAATGAACCGGGCACGATACGAAAATACCATCCTGATCAATGGAGCAATGGGTTAGAAGAATTGACAGGAAGATTCTTGCCAAGGCACTATGCCAATTTAGACTTTGCAGATAATTATATAGGAGATTCAGCAGGAAAAGCACTTGTCACAAGAATACCACCCTGATCGATTTAAATATAGAAGCAATAGGTTAGGAAATCAACAGGAAAAGCACTGACCGAGACTATCTAACGAAACTAAATTTAGGTGTGATTAGTTTAAGAGAATCGACAAGAAAAAGGACTGACCAAAGCATTATACAAGAATACCTAATTTAGTAACAAAATAGAAGAGAATTAACAGGAAAAAATTTGCCGAGGTATTATGCAGGAATGTCTCCTTGATAGAGTAGAGTTAAATATAAAATAGGGAAATTGGCAGAAGAACTGACTGAGGCGCTATGCAAAAGTATCACCCTGATCAACTTAGACTTGGCGGATAATTACATAGGTGAATCAGCAGGAAAAACATTGACTAATGAGGTCTATGCAAGAATATCATACTGAATAATTTGGACGTAGAGAATAGTATATTAGAAGAATCAGCGAGAAAAGCATTAGTCACGATAGAAAACCATTCTAGTTTGAAATTATATAATAATCAAATGGGAAATTAGCGGGAAAAGCACTAGCTAAGGTAATATACAAGAACATCTCCCAGATGTAATTAAATATAGGTTGGAATTTCATAAGAGAATCGGTGGGAAAAAAATATATATGCTGATTAATTAAATACTAAAGAAAATGAAATAGGAGAATCAGTAAGAAAAGTATTAGCCGAAGCATTATATGTATCAATATATTTTTATTATTGTAAATTAAAAAAAATATGTTCACAAACTTTATGATATAAAATTTATATTTGTGAAAACGAAATATTTTATAATTTAAACTTTTATACTAATTATAAGGGTAAATGCTATCTATGATTCTGCTTCAAGAACATCAAACGTTTGAAAAATTCGGAACCCATCATATTACCACAGTCAGAAAACGACCATTCAGAAGATGAGGATGTGGCTGAAACTGGAAGGTAAATGCAAGCTATCTTGTTTATGATAGGAAATCTTTTCTTGTTGAAGTTCCACCACGCAACTGGGTCTGAATTAAAATATATTTGTGAAACTGCCAAGTATTTATCTAGCTCGCTTTGTGAATCAGAAGATGATGGATTATTAAAGATATCTAAAAGTGTTGGTTTATATAGGGAATAAACAGGTGTAGGGTTATTATATAGGAGGTGATTAATGAAGAAGTAGATATTGAAGTTGTTGATTTCATATTATATTTGGTTTTTAATAAATCTTGAACTTCTCTTATTTTTTCAGGTGCAAAAACAAGCTTTTTAACATGAGAATCGAGAATGGAAGGTAAATATGATTTTTCATTATCTTTTTTCCAGTAAAAATGCATCGCATGATATAAGATCTCCTTGCACTTTTCTAAAACTCCAAATTTTTGTATAGACTTGTCGAAATCTCTTTTTTTTGTAAATCATTCTCATTATCACAAATGTCAAGTTCTAAAAAAATATCTTTACTTTCGATATTGATTTTTTCTGATGATATTGATGTGGGCTTAAGTATATTGATTATATGTATCATTATAGGATTTATAGTGCTATAAGTAATATAATTACTGCCACCAAGAATTCTAGTTGCTTCTTCGAGTAGACCCAAAATCAAAATCAAATTGCGAAGTAAGTCCTACTTATCATTTGTTAACATTATATTGGTTAGACACTAAGAATCTTTCTTAGAGTCTAGATTCATATTTTTAGCTAATTAAACTTCTAATATGTGAATATATTTTTCTAATTCCAAGAGATGGCACCATGCCAAATAGCTAGAGTTCTAATGAGTTAGTACATCTGCAATTATGTGTTTCAAATACTTTGATGTTTTTTCAGCATTCTAAAATAAAATATATAGTTAGTAAATTATATTAGATTCATTAAATTAAATGTAGTAACATACGATCGAAAATTCTTTAAAATATAAAAATAAATATTTAGTAATTTAAAAATATAAATAATCAAAACAAATATAATAAATATGTATATATTGTAAATCTTATTTGATCTTGTATATCGTTTATGAATATTTTCCAAATGCTCAGATTGTTTTGGCATTAAAAAAATCAATTAGATATTTGGTATCACCAACTAGAATTTTAACAGGTTCCAATTCTTTTCCAATTATTAATTGAAAAATATATGCTATATATGGTCATGCAATTCCCATTCATCCAATAATGAAAAAATAGCATCACTAATATTTTCAGCTGTATGTGGATAACAAATATACTCAATAGAAAACATAAATTCTTAAAGTCAAAACTTATAATCTATATATAAACATTTTATACTTAAAAATCCTTGTTGATTTTTACATGTCCAAAAATCACTTCTTAAAAATACCAAGATCAAATTCTTTCTTACTTTTTTTATAATTAATTTAAAAAAATAATTATAAGCAATATGAATAAGTTTTTTTATATATTTAATACATGAAATTTGAAATTTAAAATCTAACTTGATTATAGATTTTTTAAAAGCTAAATTTTGAAGAATTGTAAGTGGTTATAAATCAGTTATAATTCAATTTACAAGATATTAACATAGTTGAAATTAATGTGATTCATTATATAGTAAATTAATTAATTCTATATATTTTTTAGTTATTCTATAAATATTTGAAAGATGCAAAGAACAGTTACTTGTTAATGTATTAAATTTATATTTCCTATTATATTTTTTTTCTTTTATTGTTTAAACTTTACAAATCACATATTTTATATCATCTCTATATTCCAGTTCAAAATATAACCAAATTCAACTTTGAATTTTACTATATTTATATGTATTATTAACTTTTGTTTTTTTGTATTTGTTCTATATTATTATATACTCTGGTTAATATATTGATATTATTTTTATTAAAAGCAGATATTTTTTTAATAAAAATAAAAAAATATTGAAGAATTTTAATTTTATTTTTAATTAGTTATTTATTTTTTTTTTTTATCACGAACAAGCATTAAATGCGAGACTTTATTTAAATAAAAATATTTGTTGTCATTACATTAACCATCTTTACATAGTAAATTAATTGTAGCCTATCGCAACAAAACTATTGGAATCAGGTACCACTGCGGGAGTAGGCTCGCAACAATAGTGCTGAATGGCTAATGCCTGTTTAAAACGATAATATAACTGTTGGAGTGAAGATTGACTTGTCAGTGAAATTGTATGAAGCATTGAGTAGGTC